AACATACAAAGACGGAGATGCATACCGACTTGCCGTGTCCTATATGTTAGCTTGGACCTATGGCTATCCTCGAGTCATGAGCAGTTTCTACTTTGAAAAGACTGATCAAGGACCGCCAAATTACGGCGTCAGAAGCGGCTTTGCGGTAAACTCACCAACTGCATATTTTTGAACTAAGTGGATGCTTGGTGATACGTTTAGACCAGGTCACCGTCATTTAATCCAGACCAAACATGCGATCCATCCTCTGGTTGGGTGTGCGAGCACAGATGGCCAACTATCAGGTTAGCATGACTGTGTCTCAGATTCGGTGCTGAAAAACTTTGGCTTGGATGCCTTTTTGTTCTAGGGAAATGGTCAGATTCCGAAGCACATGCGCTGGCACGCCAGCAGTTGAGAAGGTGATTGAGAACAACCATGTTGCCTTCGCTAGATATGGAAAAGGATTCTTTGCTGTAAACGGAAATGGTTGGGGCTGGAGCAGGTGAAACTTGCCGCTCTAGGTTAGAAGAGAGTCTAGAAGATTGCTCTTTGTAGGTACTTCCAAACAACTCTACCTGCTGGACAATATTGTGATGTTTATAATGGTCGTTTAGAAAATGGAAATTGCACAGGAAAGATCATCAATGTCGGAAGCAACGGTTCGTAAAAGGACTAATTTGTTACCTAAATCTCTCTGTAGCCTAAACTTCTCCTCTTGTAATGTCATCAATCATAAAGCTGATAAAGAGGAACGAACCGTTGGATTAAAACACAAAAATTCTGAACAATGTTTATCAGCTGAACTTTTCTGCAAAACATAATATAAAAGCAGACGTTTAAGATAGCACACAATACATTATTTTTTCAGGAATAGCTCACATAGTTATCGACAGCAAGGCGGCTGTTGCTATCTCGTTGGCTTCAAAGATTGGTAATGTCCTTGGAACTAAAAAAGTACATGGATTTAATGCACTCTAACTTGAGGCCCACCACTTCCGCCAGAACCAGAACCAACGCAGAAGCCTATTGATCCTAAGGAACTTACCAAGACCGTAATCTTCCTCAAACGAGACACCTCTCTGGGGGAGAACATTTTCCTTCGCGGTGGAAACAGCCACGCTCACGGTGGAGGTATCGTATATACCATCTGGTACTGTGAAGTAGTAAACGTCTTTTTTGAGACCATTCTCAAGCATGAGTTATTTAGCTGAATAAGAGTGCTGAGTGTACAGCCTTAAAACATTTTGCTATTTAAACGGAAAGTTACACCTCAATGTAGAAACGAAAAGTTCCAGCTTGCGCAGAAGGGCCATATCAACAGCCATATGACAAATGCGCAATCCCAATGCTTCACCAAACAAGAGTACCCTACAACTATTTCGAGTACAAATCATGGAGCCAAGGCGACAGCTACCTCGACTTTGAAGGTCCTGAGATAGACCAAGGTTTGCTATCTTATATACAGGTATGAGCGATATGTCCGTGATCTTTTTAATCAAGGAACCTACAACGGTGAAG